GGGAGAGAGACCTGGTTCGGGTCATGCTGACCTTGGCAATCGGAAACACCACAAGACCATTGCACTTCCAGCCTGCGGTCTGTTCCATCGGCTGCGGGATGGTGGGTTTGCCCCCTCCCCGACGACATTAAGTGTCAAACTAGCCCACCCGAGGGCGGTTGATTCCTTTCGGCAGCGTTTTCTCTACCGGCGGAAGTTGCTTGGGTTAGCTTCTTTTTTGAGTGGGTTTCGTTGTTTAGCTGGTAGTTTCGTTGTTTTGTGTTGGTTTGCCCTTTTGTTTCCCCTCGTTTCCGGTTGTTTGAAGAATAAATGCATAAGGGGGTTAGCAAGGAAGGTGGGTAAAACCCGATCCAGCGATCTGGAAGCACCCGGGGGGGTGCCGGCACAATTACCAGCATCCTTTTAGAGATCGGTCACACGGTCGGAGCAAGCAGTGCTGAGTGGTTTAGCTTTGAAAGGCAGTCGCGAGGGTGCGTACAGGCGAGTGGCACCGCCTCCTTGCGAGGTGCAGAGGTCGTTCTTGCAAAGGTTTTTTTTCCAGGTGGCGCGGCGACTGGCCAGCGCCATCCAGAGCAACAGTGGACCGGCTGAGGCCTTACCCGACAAAAGTGTCACACAAAAAGTGTCTCACAAAAAGTGTCACACAAAAACTGTCACACAAAAACTGTCACACAAAAACTGTCACACAAAAAGTGTCACACAAAAGTGTCACAGCGGTCAATTAGACCGGGCACAGAAACAGCAGAAACAGGAGACCGACAAGGGGACACCGCTTTTTCAAAGACCGCGGAGGTCAGCGGACCGAGCTACCGGAGAGGGTGTGCGTTGTTTGGTAACCTGATACGTGTGTGTGCGATGATGCGGGTTTTCGTGGCAGCCTGATACGTGTGCGTTGGCTGTTACACGAGCTTGAAGCTCCACGTGGATGCTTGGTGCAGTGTGCCGTGGGCACCGCCCGCTGCACACGGGGATTCGTTTGCGACAATAAAACCTCGGAGGGAAAAAGACTGCGTGTTTATCCCACTCAAGAAACACCAGGCTCCGGAAAAATCCCCTCCCCCGGGAACTGTAAGGGTAAAATACTCGAGGGACTGCCTTGTGCTTATTTCGAAGGAGGCAAGAGGGGGAGAAAATATTACAACTACAAAGTGGGTCTCTTTTTGGTGAACGCCACTAAACCCAGATGTACCTGTGTTTCGTGTGGGCCACACAACATATTTCCCTCCTTTGTCAAGTTTGAGATTGGATTATTGTTGCGATAGGGGAGTCATCGGCATGCCGGCATGAGTATCACGCTAAAACTTGGGAATCGCAACTGGCCGTCTCCTCAAGTATTTCCTACAAAGCAGGTGCTTATACAAAAAAAGAAGCAAGACTGCCAATGGTCAAATTATCTGGGTGACAACCTCATCCGGCCCACTGTAGTCGGTATTAGGTGCTCACTTTGAGGGAGGTCGTGCTACCCGCAGTGCGTCCTGCTGCCACTCTGTTTCCGTTCAGTGGATTTGCGTTACGTTCTTGCCCCTCACTACGATAGACCGTCGCGTACAAGTGTGAACACATGTCAGCAGTGATGTGCTCTTGTGATAATGAACCAGCCAGAGAAAGAAGGGGCGGGTGGTGTTTTCTTCCCGGATCGTATCGAAGTGCATGCAGTGATGGTCAGATGGCGTACATTGAGAAATAGCAGGACAAGCGCACTATCGATACAAACAACGACGAGAAAATGCGGGTTGCTGTCTTTCACCGCTAAGCTGGAATGCACTCAAGATGGATCTGAACGTGCAGCGTTGAGGCTAAGTCCAAACAGAGAATGGACTGCAGCGGCCCGCGCGATGCGATACGTCACGCCACCAGCCCCCTCGCGAGTAAAGAAAGCCCTTACCGCTAGTAACAGTTGTTGCCTACCCTCATCCGAGGCATCGGCAGCAAGGGCCGCTCTCGAAGGGACATCGGCCGGGTTCTCCTTCGTGCTGATCCACGAGATGGACCAAAAAACAATTCAACTCCCGTAATCGGGCCAACGCGCTCACAACTGCAGCATTCAATGCCTTGTTCGGCATGCAGTTCTTCTTTCGCGCCACCCCGACCACGGTCGTGCTGTCGACGTGGATGTCGACCGCGCTCCCTGACGGCGGCAACGCATCCACGGCTCTTTGAAGAGCCAGTGCTTCGAGCACGTTAATATGGACCTGAGCTTCCTGCTCGGTCCACGTGCCGCCCAACAGTGAGCTCCGCTGTCTGCCGATCGACAAGACCCCATCCCTGCAGCGAGGCATCCACATATAACAGTGTACGGGCGATTCGCGGTCGGGCTGATATTTTTCTTGGAGCATCGACGGAGTCGATCCATGAGCGCGAATCCCTTCGCACCGAAGCTGGCACGGATACGCGGTCGGATTGCACGCGCGTTCCCTTGTTCAGGCTGTTCGTGATTCGCCGCAAGAACTTCACGGCAAACCAGTACGAGCCAGGAAACGTGTTCGCGACTGCCCCCGAGGGACTCGAGGTCGCCAGCAGTGGGTCTGCTTAAAGCGAGGGCCCGGATCTTTTCAATTAGGCGAGCCGCAGGAGCCACCGTTTTCTGTTCGTGGTCGAAAGAGACCCGTATGAAATCATAGCCCGAGGAAGCGTCGTTGGAAGCGTGCGCCCGCGCGGCCAGCCGATCGAGTTTTTCGGTTTGGCAGAGCACCGCGGCCCGGGGCCCACAAAGACGAATGTTGTCCACCCAGGCATGGACTGTTACTCTGTCGGCCGCAAATTCGGCGGCGGCGAAGTCTGGGTGGCCAGCCAATACGGCTGTCATAGTGTGCATCAACTCTGGTGCACACGAGTGCCCCATGGGCAGCCTATTCAGAACGTAGGCGTATCCATGCTCATCGAGGAAACCGAAGTTTTTCCATGCATCCTCCGGGACTTTAATCTGATAGAAGCCACAACGCAAATCGCGTGTTGGCGCATTCGGACCCCACGACATCGAGGTACTCCAAACCCCGACGGCTCTCCTTGCCGGTGATTGGCACCGGACCTCAGCACTGCATATCCAGAGAGTTTGAAGACTATTCTGTTGCCATTTCGTGCGAGGCGGCAGGTACCAGCACCGACTTCACCCACGATGCCGACATCAACGAGGAAGACCTTGGCATCGGAGCAACGGAGAAGTGCATTGCCGCGCAAGAAATCGGAGGCGTTTCAAGGGGAAGTACAGGCACCAAGCGGCAAAGCTGAGGCGACGGGTCGAGAGCGAGAGAACAAGCGCCAGAAACACGGCTTGGTGTGTTTGAAACGATGGTCATCCGAGTGGCTAACGCAGACCATCGCCGCAGATTCTGTGCATTCTATCCTGAAACTCATCACGGTCCGCCACGTTGCACCACGGTCTATCAGGAGGGGGGTGAGACCGGCTTGCCTTGTGGGGCAATGGGCCGGTATTATGGTCATTATGGTCGGGTCCCTCCTGGGATTTTTACAGGGACAGAAGAAATGTGAAAACGGGTTGAAAGATCCGGGATGCCGAGAAGAGTAATGGCCGGGCAATTCTTTTTTTTTTTTAGCTGTTTTTGTTCGTGGTTTCTTTGTTTTTTTTTTTTTCAGAGCTGTTTTTTTGTTGTTGTTTTAGAGTGGTCGACGATGTACGCAGTTGTCGAAAGCAGTGGCGGGCGGGGCCCATGCCCATCAGCATCGCTGGAAAATATCTACTCCGCCGGGTGGGGTGAGTGTTTGTGCGGTCGTTTGTGCGGTCGGTTCTTTTTTTTAGAGTTAAAGTTCGCTTGAAATTCCGGGTTTTAGGGTCTCCGTGTGACCGTTCATGAATGGTTTTGTGTTTTTTTTTTCCTTTTCTTTTTTTCCGACGACAACCAGTGCTCCCGCTAACCTCACTTTTGGTGAGGAATTCAAAAACCTGTTTTGGGCTTGTTTTGTGTTACCGAACGGTACGGTACAGGTGGAGAAAGTTTGCACTTCTCAGTCTGTTTGTCACAATAAACACTGCACATTCCTGGAGGCAACGGCCCATTTCAAATTCAATCACCACTCGATACTGCGTGCTGGTACATCATTGGCACGAGTAGCGCAGACCAGAGATCACATGGAGCAAGGCACTTGTGTCGACTCGGAGAGAATCTGTCAAGAAATCCGGGGCTGCTTCTGATCCTCGACTCTCTTTCTCGGCTCCAGCCCCGTGGCAGCCCCAGACTTCTGCCCGCCAGCCCACGAGTAGACTGTGATGCAGTGCTTTGGCTACACGATACCACCAACGGGTAAAAGGTGAGGAATTCCTCATGAGGAATTCCTCACCCTCTTTTTTCGAGCCTCTTTTTTTTTTGAGGAATTCCTCGCACTTTTTCGTTAGCGGGAGCGCTGACGACAACTAGTGTCAGACTAGCTGGGCCCTGAGTGCCTCGGATTGCACATTGGCCACCTTTGCCGGTGCTTCCTCCTTCCTTCGTCCGTTCTTCTTTAGAAGGGGGGTGCGGGCGGGAAACCTCAGGGCTGCCCACGTAATTAAGCCGTTAAGCATTGGGAACTTTGAAGTACACGGACCACGCGGATCTGCATGCACTGGTTCAGCAGCGGCTGCCGGCTTATCCCGTGACACCTTTTTATAAGTAGTTGGCGAATATGAATCAACTACTGCTAAAACTATTGGGTGTGCGCACCCTCCGTGTGTATGTGTGTGTGATCTCAGTAATGGATAACCCCTGAGCGGAGTCTAGCCCAGTTGCGCAATGCACGTACGTTACTGCCGATGCACCAGCCGGCCGCTCGTGGTGGTTGCGACGTACACGGAACTAGCCTCGACTGGCATTGTGTGTGTGTGTGTGTGTGCGTGTGTGTATGTGTCTGTGCGGCACCGGGTACTGATACGCACCTCGATCGGGCTTCAGGAACCCGCCACATCTTCGCGCACGCTTGTTTCCTCTTCTTTATTGCGCCCCAGTCCCAGAGCATCTTCCGCGCTGCATCGCCCAACATCTCCTCCGTCCTCCGCGATTCTGGGCAGACCTTCTTGGCCTTTTGGCTAAGATCAAGCGCAGCATCCGGGCTGTTTCCTTCTTGATCTGTTCTTCTTCCGCTTTATACCTGATACAGCACACGTGTAGTTCTCTCAGCCCTCGCGCTGGGGTCGATTGGCGAAAAAGACCGCTGCCTGGGGTACTGGGGTACAGCCACTGAGAGCTTCGGTGTGCAGTTGGGCAAGTGGACCAATACCCAACCGGTGGAAAACACGTCAGGCTGGAAGCCTCGTGAGGCCGCGCTGGGGGTCGCATTGAAGCGTCTCACCCCCAACGTCTTCCAGCGTTTACTACAACACACGTTAATGAACGGTAAACGTTTACCGCAATCACTGCCCACGGGCTCTCTCGCATCCTCTTCCCCCCCATAACGACAGCAAGTTGCAGGCTAGGTCGGTTGGTTCCTTTCGGCAGGTGTTCTCTACCTCTTTTTGCTTTTTTTTTTTTTTGTTTTTTTTGTTGTTTTTGCTAAGTGCAGCATACTAGCTCTGACCTCGACCCCCGAGCCCAGAACTGGTAAACTGGTCTGTATCCAAATTTTGTGCACAGGGGGTGTTGCAGGAGGGCAGCCACCCCCGTTCGGCAACGAATGCCTGCAGAGCGAAGTCGTCTCGGATAGCGGTGGGATGGTGGACAAAGGACGAAGAAAGCCATACGCCTGCTACGGGAAACAAAGGGACGAGTGCAATGGGCCAACAACAGCGTCCGTGAAGGGCCGATTGCAGCAGCCTTGGGTTAGTCATCATATTTTTGCGCATGACCCCCACTTTGTCGACGCACGCTTCATACTCCGGCCACGTGGCGAAGTTCAGTGTTCTTGGGCTCGCAATCCACGCATTGAGGTACGCCATAGCGCTCCTCGGGATGCCGCTGCCACGTTCATACGGGCCATTGAGCCCGAGCATTAGCACGTCGGTCAGCGTCTGCTCGTGAAGCCTCTTCCTGGCTTTTGTCAACACCCTTTTCATGTTTGAAAAGACACGCTCGACCGATGCTGTCCCCATTGGCAGGACAACAGCAATGACAAACAGCTTGTTTGTCTCTGGAAATGCCGTCGAAAGGTTCGATGACTTCAGCAGCCCCAGCATGACGTCTTCCAATGCACCCGGTGGTTGAACACGGTGGTAGTACACTGTGGTACCCCGTGGTGCACGGTGGTAGTACACTGTGATACCCTGTACACACTGTAGTACACAGTGTGTAGTACACTGTGGGTAGCCGGTTCCTCCGGGAAAATAATAATAGCTGAGATTTTTTTTTTTTTGACCCAGACCACAGGGCTCTCGCGCTCCACCCCTAGAGGCCCAAAAAGGGGGTGATTTCGGGTCCCCCACAATCTCTACCAACGCTGCAGAGACCCGTATGAAGAAGCAAAAAAAGAAGAATACCGGAAAGAGAAGGCCATTGGGGCGTGGTGCGCTTGAAAGGACACCTTGAAAGCCCCCCTAGTTTGTATCACACAATGCCCCCTTGAATGCAGCCAAGTCGCAGAAGCCCACCTGGCGGTTTTGCAACGACTTGAACTTCTGAAGGACGCGTGTGGACTGGTCTGCGGTCAATGTCTCCTGCCCACAAGTGCACATCATGAGGATTGCTGATAGGCTCTTGTCGCTTAAGCTGTTGCGCAGGCTCGTCTTGATCAGTTTAAGACGGCTGAACACCCGCTCGCACTCAACAGACACCAAGGGTAAACAGAGGCCAATGAGCATTAGTTTTCGTAGGGTTGGGTACCGCAACTTCCCGGTAACGGTGTTTGCAAGGTTGAACAGAGTCTTGGAACCTGCGTCCTGACGTGCAGCGAAACTCATGTCACTGACGGCCTGTCGAAGCCCTGTCCACTCCCGCAGCACATCGTCACGTGTCAGCACGAGAAACGGCACATCACGCTTGGTGACTTTCGTGGTCGTCGAGGGGTCATCATTGTACACCACCTCTACATACCGCGAAGTAGACTCGTGGTTTCTTCTGCGAGGGACAAGCCTCTCCTCCAGGACGGGCTTCTCTGCATACGACAGGACCGATTCGCGTCCGTAGTGGTCGCACAGAGCACAGACTTCAACATCCCCGTAGGTCAGCTGCAATCTCTTATCGCTCGGGTGGTTCCGCACGTCGAAAATGCTGAACGAGTTGACGAACGTGCGGGATGCAAACCTGCGTTCGAGTTCAGCAACCACGTATGCCAGGTACGGCTTTCCGACCTCTTCGTGGAACTTGTCAAAGGTCGCTCTCCCGATGTAAGCGTCCCCCGTTGCCGATGCATACAGCTGCAAAAATCCGCTATAGTGGAGACTGCGGTGAGGAGCGTTGCTTCTGCTCCGGATGGAGCTGATTGTCAAGTCGATCCCTTTGACACAATCCATGATGTTGTAGTCCCGCGTTTGGAACGCAAGACTCAGCGCGCTGAGGTCGCTCAGAACATCGCTTCCGAGACAGAGGGAGGCAACAAACTGCACAGACATCAGGTGGACGTGTAGGAAGCGCGCTGTACTCAGCTCAGATGCAAGCTTCGCCAGTGCCCGAACAATAGCCGGATAAATGGTACGCACGGCATCTGTGCACGCAGTGAAAGCCAACCAGCGAGTTTCAGACGGTTCGACAATAGACCTTTGGGGTCCTTCGCAGCGGTCGGCGAGTTCCTCAAACGCACGGTCGATCTCACAAAGACGCTTTTGAGAGGCCGAGAAGAAGACCCACAGTTGGCGCAGCACCTGGAAGAACTGCTTCATCACTGGGATCGCAGTCGAGCTGTCGACACTCGCGAGTGAAAGCAGATGCGCGCAGCACCAGCTGAACAACGAAGAACAATTCGTCCTAGCGCGGAGGCGCTGCTGCGCTCCTAGATTGTCCGACGACATGCTTGTTGTGCCGTCAAGCGAGCACCCCACAAACGTGGTTTTCAGATTCTTGTTTTCTCCGTCGATTTGCAGTTCCTTGATCACAGCCTCAGCGTGCCCGCGTCCGGTCCGATCGTACAGGTTGGTCATGGACCAAAACCGCTCTGTGACCTCTCCCTGCTCGGTCACCATCCGAACGGTGACAGCAATTTTGTGCTCCCTGGAGATGTCGTCGCTTCCGTCTGCACAAACAGCCCAAAACGCAGCGTTGCTCAAGTGCATTGTGATGTCCTCTTTCAAGACTTCGCCAATGCAATGGAGAAGCTGGAGCAGAGCTTGAGCTGAGAGATACGTGATGTCCTGTTGCATCCACTTCATGAATGCGGAATCACCCATGCAGTGCGCATAGTGTTGCATAGCTGGGCGAAGGTGAGAGAGGGGGCGGTTGTGCGATAGCTCGAAGAACATAGAGTCGATGATTTTCTTGAGCTGGTCGGTGTTGTAGGTGCGACTCGTGTTGAGGTGTTCCAGGATGGCGGCAGGTGCACGACCGACGGATGTCGCGTGAATCTTCGACTTCGTGTGGTTCTGCAATGCAGCTTTCAACTTCCTGAGCTGAACAAAGCTCGTTTGCACGAAGATCTGGTTGGAATCCGACCATTGGCACAGCCCGCACCTCAGTCCATCACTGCGTATCTCCAGCCACGGATGGTTCCCTTGGTGTCGGAGCAGGGTTTGCTTCTTGACTTTGCCAGTTTTTCCCGATGAGCTCTGGAACTCCACAAACCCTAGCTGGTCTTCATCCGGACTTTCCTCGTCATCAGAAGCATCAACATCGTGCACGTCCGCATCCGCCTCTTGCGCATCTTCAACGATGATGGCTGGACGAACAACTGCAACACGTTCCCGTTGTGCTCTCACGAACGAATCGTTGCTGCTGCACGACTCTTCGTCTGACTCGTGCATCAAACGGTGCGGGTGGAAGACGATCCCAGCTTCGTCAGGCGGCTTCAGACGCGGAACTGCACCGGTAGCAGTGCCCCCGAGAACAAGTGCTGATTGCGAACCGGTTGCGGCCACCGCAGCCCCTGTTGCCACGACCCCGTCCCGCTTCTTGTCGTGAGCTTTGATGAGCGCGAGAGCCTTTTCCTTCCCCGGCCAAGCAGGTCCTTGACCGATCACGTTTTGGAAGGGCGGTGTTTGTCGTTGCCGCGCCAGGGCCTGCAGCAGGATGTCGTCGGTCTTCCAGCTCGTATAGTCATACGACACCGTGACCGTGTGCTTCTTCTTCTTGTAAGCGACTTTGTACGACTCAGGTGCTCGACGCTTCACCGTTTTTTGTGTGAACAGAGGAGCTATTTGAGACATGGTTAGTGCCTTTTCTTGCGGTGTACTCCTCTTCCTTTCTTCGTCCCTGGAGGTATGGATATGGATTCCTTGTCACTTACCTACTGGCCGTGGGCACCTCTTCGACACAGCCCTACCCGACAGCGCCTGACAGCCCCCCCCCCCCTGGACAGCCACACCCCCCAGCCCTGGATCAACACGTGTACGCTACACGGTGTAGTACACCCCCCAGCCCTACCCCGGACCATTTTTTTTTTTTCGGGGGGGGGGGGGTGATTTTTTAAAAAATCACCCCCCCATTTTTTTTGGGTTTTTTTTTTGGGGTGATTTTAGGGCTAAATCACCCCCCCGCGAGAGCCCTGGCAGACCAGTTTCCAGACCAACTCTGGTCTGGCGACCAGCTGACCCCCCCAAGCTAGTAGGCTGTTTTGCTTTGAAGGATCGACAGTCTCCTCCCCCTTTGTCGCAGGCTTGTGCTCGAGCCTTCGAGCGAGAAGGACCTCCAGTGAGCAACTGTGCTTGAGGCTGTCGCTTTTTCGAAGCGGGAAGTTAGGTTGTTACGCCGAGGCTAAAATATCACCGGGTGACGTTCGTTGTGATGTTCTTAGTGTGCGGCGCTTTTCTGTTCTTATTTCTGCGGTTGAAGCCGAACCTGATAAAGGGGAGGGGTCGAACAATATCAGTTATTTGACACGCGCCTGGTTGTCTAAAAACACTACCACAGCTACTGTTCGGCTACCTGGAACTTTTCTCAGTATTCGACAAATTGAATACACGGTGAGGTCCAACCTCGAAGCTGGGGTTAAAGAGGGTGTGGCCACGTCACACCCGAAAAGCGGGTGTGCCACAACCAAAACGCGTGTAAGTCCACACCCGAAAAGCGGGTGTGAC